CACAAACACAGAGACATGGGTGAAAACACAACTAGACTAAACGTCAACTAAACCCTTACTAAGAATAACACCACAAGAACTTCAGATATTTCAATATAACCTAAAAGAAAAAAAAAAGAGATGTCAACAACAACCACATTTTGACTACACATACCTGTGTACAGCAATCCTATGGACGTCAACACCAGACTATCATTAGATATCGAAATAAAGATCTTGCCTTATGTTACAAAACAACCAACTTCAGGACTGAACCTCCAAAAATGACATGTAAAGGCATCATTCTGCTGTCTCTTTGAACCGTGGCTATGTTCATCATGGACCATATATTATTTCTCATTTACACACTTTATCATGAAGCTTTAAAATATAGTTTGGGTACTTTGGCGCGGTTGCAGGTGAGACAGACACACCTTAGCTGCATCAGCTCGTCATGCCTCCCCTGCATATAAGGGTGAAATGGGTCCTGACTGTGTTGTTGTTGTGTACATGTGGCTGGCAGCTAAAAAGCTGCGGCTGTGAGTGTATGACGCAAGCAACTGAGTTAATAAAGATGCTGAAAAGCATTCAAGTGTAATCAGGTCCATATTTGCTGCCACAGATAAAAGGTTTGTCTCCATTTTTGGGGGGAAAATATTGATGCATCTTACTTCCAACAGTTAGCCAGCTCTCTGGTGATTCTCCAGCATCAGGAATACTACATTTGTAGAGTCCTTCATCAGATTTGGATACAGTGGGAATCATTATGTTTCCTGATGAGCTGCTCCCAGTGGAGATGCCATTTTTATAGAATTTTGCAGTGTAGCTGGAGTTTGCATCCTTTTTTCTACAATGCAAGGTCACATTTTCTCCCTGCATCACAGGTTGAGCAGGAATCTCCAGGATCACATGACTCTCTAAATCTAAATGGAAGAATGTGTAACAGTTATTGTTTCAAAAAGTGATATTTGTTAAAATTATACATATATAGAAATCATTAATTATATTCATTCATTACTAACAACAATAATAGCTCAAATCAGTTTTAAATAGATACTTCTGATTATTACAATGCACATGCAGTAAATATATATGTATATGTGTTACTTTATTATGATTGTGATGCATTTTATGACGAAAAATTATCCCTTAGTGTTATGAAAATATATATCAAATATGACATTGTGCATTACTGTAATCGATATACTTAACAGAAAAAATGGTGAATGGACTAAATATGTTAACACATAATTGCTTTTTTATGTACATACCAGTTACAGTGATGTTGACAGAGTTGCGTTTTTGTATTCCTCCATGTTCACACCAGTATTCTCCACTGTCAGTTGATGGATATGCATTAATAATTTTGCAAGGTCCAATCGATGTTTCCCAGTTTGAAGCACATGGTCTAACACCTCCATTTATCTTTTTCATCACTCTCCATCCAATCAGCCCATTTTGCCCTTCACAGCTGATAGCGATAGGCTCTGATTGAAAGAACTGCTGTCTGTTTGGAACAACTTGAGGAAAACCTGAATCTGAGACAGAAAATCAAATAAAGACTCTGCCGTCAATGTCAGAATATATAGAATAAAACTTGGATATATAGAATAAATGAACCTGATGTTGATAGTTAAGGTTTTCTGAATTATCTGCCTTTACAATATGGCAACAGCAGAAATATTTCAGTAGTTTGAAGAGTTTGACAACTGTCTTGTGACAGCTGTTCAAACGAAGAGAAGATTTTGCAATACTTGAGAGAAATTATCAATCAAAGATGGAGATGTCAACTGAGATAACATGTCAAGCAGAAGCTGAAGCACACGATAACACATAATACCATATCACTGAAACCGTTATACCATTTTACATCCAAGATAAGGCATAAAAATGCAAACAAATTTAATGTCACTTTTCATTAAATACATTCAGAAGATCATTCTACATATATATATATATACAAATTCCAT